ATGTAGTGCTGTTGAGGACTACTCATTGAGTACTGTTTGTCAGCCAGCTACAGATCCATCTGGTGGGGATGTTGTCTATTGCACCTTTTTCTAGCTTACCAAGTAGTAGGTTGTGGTCTACCTTATCAAATGCCTTACTGAAGTCCAAGTATACTATGTTCACAGAATTTCGCTGGTCTATTAGTTTAGTCACTTTATCGAAGAATGAAATAAGGTTGGTTTGGCATGATCTGTTTTTGATAAACCTGTGCTGGCTACTAGTTATAACTTTGTTTGCTTCTATTTTATATCTTCATGTAAAGTGTTCCATCTAACTTATTTAAAGTAATTGGAATATTGAAATGCCATGGACATTTATAATAACAGATGTATAAAATGTCCAAGATAATTATATGTTAAAATATAAAACTCAAATCAAAGGAGAATTTATATATTTATGACTGGAGAGTGGATCTAATGTCTTTAAATAGTTCTTTATTATAGCAAGAGAGTTTCTGGATCAATAATACTATTGTAATATTAGATATTTATGAAGTCCAGTTGTCTATTGTTTCTATTTCAAAAAATCTGTAGCTGTCTATTTTAATTCTTTAATAGTTTTCTAAATTATTGATGAATAAAACCCTTCCTCTAAGGGAATAACTCCATAGTTTATAAATAAGTATGAATAAATAAGTATGAAATAAAAGCCATATCAATCAATCAATCAATCAATCAATCAATTAATCAATCAGAATAGACCTGCAAGGTACCTTGGAGATCATCTAGTCCAACCCCCTGCTCAAGCCATTTCAAATAAATGACTGTCCAGTCTCTTCTTAAAAACCTCCAGTGAAGAAACCCCCCAAATTCTGAAGACAAGCTGTTTCATTGGTTAATTGTTCTCATTGTTAGGAAGTTTCTCTTTAATTCCATGTTGCTTCTCTCTTTGATTAGTTTCCATCCTCCTGCCCTCTGGTGCTTTGGAAAATAAGTTGACCCCCTCTTTATGGTGGCCCCTCAAGTATTAGAATACTGCTATCATGTCACCCCTAGACCTTCTTTTCTCTAGACTAGACATACCCAGTTCCTGCAACCATTTTTCATATGTTTTAGTCTCCAGGCCTTTAATCATCCTAGTTGCTCTTCTCTGCACTTTTTCCATCGCTAAAATTAATTTAAACCCCCCCACTTTTCATATATGCACACAAAGCATTGTCTTGAACATAATTACTCTTGTAAATATATGTATAAAACAAAGAAATTTCAGGAAATTCAGGTTTTAGCTAACATAAAACTTTCAGCATTTGCCTGAGAAAGTCCTGTTGAGTCCTATGGTTCTTAATCCATGAGCATGAGCAGTGTTGTTCAGCCTCTTTTCTCTGCCATCCCTCTCCATGTATTAAGGCTGAGTGCTTCACTGGAGAACTTCTTTGTCCATCAACCTCCCTTTGAATCCTGATTTGCATGGAAATTTTCCATGGATGGAGAGATCTCTCCATGGCAGAAATAAAACCTTTAAATGAGAAATGTTGACAAGTGGAAGGTAAGTCAGTATTCTTTAACTCAATTGCTTGAATCAACCCCATTCAATGATTTCCACCCATTAGTTCATCTTTCTGTTATTTTCTTTGTAAAAGTCAGAAGGTGAGATTAGTATCTCTCTCCCTGTCTCTCTTGAAATGAAGTAGCTTTTCTTTCTCTCTTGTCTCCTTTCAGCCACTTACTTTTATTGTTCATACTCATTACTCAGTTACTCAATTTAACAGTGAAGTTAAAACACACTTCCTCCACTTCACAGCTAATTTGGGAGAACATCCACCCCCTCTGTATTTATTTTGAATAAATGTAACAGTTGCATATAGACCCATATATTTTTCTGGAAAGGCTTTATGGGTAATAATAATAATAATAATAAAGTTGGAAGGGACCTTGGAGGTCATCGAGTCCAACCCCCTGCCCAGGCAGGAACCCTACACCATTTCAGACAAACGGCTGTCCAGTCTCTTCTTAAAAACTTCCAGTGTTGGAGCATTCACCACTTCTGGAGGCAGGTTATTCCACTGGTTAATTGTTCTAACTGTCAGGAAGTTTC